CATGTTTTGTTTCTCCCTCAGGTTTTAATGTTGAGACAGTAGAATATAAAAACATCAGTTTCACTGTGTGGGATGTTGGTGGCCAGGACAAAATCCGACCACTGTGGCGTCACTACTTTCAGAACACACAAGGTATAAAGGTGTTTCGTTTTTTTTTTTTTGCTTCCATCTAAAATAAATTGGCCTTGCTTAGCATTCCTTTTCAAGAGTAAGGAAGAGGCATCTTGTACTGAGGTCTTTGTTTCTGGGTTCTGTGTATGGCTCAATGTTTCTTTTAATGGGTTTATAGAAATGTAAACTGTTGTTTTTAAATATCTCTTCATCGCAGGAGGTATTGCGTTTAGACACTGGTCGTTACTTTGGTTCCTAGTTTTTCTCACTTGCTCACTCAATTATTGGATTGATACCAGGGCTTTAAAAGGGTTAAACTGACACTTGCATGAACTTGTTTCACTGTTTTAAATTCTCCTCCAATCTCAAGGTCTATAAAGTGACTCTGCTAGATCAATGGGAAAGAAAATGAAATCTAATTTCCTACTGAGAATCTAGAATGAGAGCAACATTATAGTTGGAGAGGCTGTTCAGGAATCAAACTACTTTTCAGTGTCTCTCAAAGATGATGCTTAAACTGATTTTTAAATTCTGAAGTTTCCTTCATAAGATTATTGAAGGGTTTGCAGAATTGATGAGATGCAGATCAGCAATGATCTGGTTGAATAACTGAACATGCTCAAGAAACTGGCTAACTCTCTTGTTTCTGTTCTTTCAGATTTAAGGTTCCTATTATGGTGAATTAACACACATCTCTGCTTGTAAAGGGCCTACAACAATGAACCACATATATTTTTCTGTGTAATAAACCTTGGTTGTTAGATTTCCTGCCTGCCCTTGGTCATGGAGTTGGTGATTTCAAGGACTTGGAAAGGAGAGGCTAAGAGCAAGAGAAATATTAATCATCTGAGATGAGCTTATTTTCTTAAATCCCCTAGGATTGATATTTGTGGTTGATAGTAATGATAAAGAGCGTATGTCTGAGGCACGTGAGGAACTGATGCAGATGCTGGGAGAGGATGAGTTGCACGATGCTGTTCTTCTTGTCTTTGCCAACAAACAGGTAAATGAACCGTTGGAGTCGAAGGTAGTTGGACAAGTTAGTAAAACAGCTCCACTATAATCTGTTTTGCATCAAGCAGTTAATTGCTGGTCAGTCTGGATCACCAGCTTTTGCACATCCTGCTCTGAACATCAATGGCACAAATGCATGAATTTTCTATCCTTGCCCAATGTTTTGTTCCAGATGCAATGACTACTCATGACAACGAGCCAGACTGTCTCCCCTGCCCTGAGTCTCGACAGGAAAATGATCTGTGTTTTTCATATGGATCTTTCTAATTTCTGGCTGTTGCAAATACTGCATTGCAGAATAAGGAACTTGCAAGTGGCGCAGTTATCACCGCTAAATGAAGATCAGCGTATCAGCCTGTTTGTCTTTATGATAAAGCCAGCAAGCTAATTCTTGGTCTTGAAATTCAGATATCAATTCAAATACCACAGTTGCTAGATGCTGTGTTTTACTATCATTTTGCCTAGCTTTGGGGATTTGGAGACTTGCTCTTCAGTATTGATCCATTCCTTTTTGGGATGTTACAGATTCTGCTTCTGATGTCCCTTTTTTCCAGGCAGTATGTTCTAGATCGTAACTAGGAATAATTCTCCTTGTCCCATCTGTGCTTGCCAATTTTTTTTTTCCTCCTTCACTTGCTCCCTCATGTTTGAACGTCTGACCTGTTCTTCAACCTGATCCTTGCTCAGCTAACAACCTCTTCAACCAATTGCTAGGGTTAAGCACCACCCCCCTACCCATCTCCTTTAGCTGAGATCTCTTATTGTTGCAATGATTTCCACTTTTCACTGGTGTCCCATTGTTGACTATGCTGTTTGAGCTTAAAAGGATTTTCTCTTCTGCTTTGTCTTGTGCTTCTCATGTTCCTTTCTAAACCATTTTTTAAACAAAGTTTTTGGTTAGCTGCCTTAACTTGATACCAAGTAACAAAATATTTTTGACTTGACCACTTCTGTGAAGTACCTTGACCTTTTTTCCCCCGAAGACACTAAATTAAAATATAAGTTGATGGTACACTCTCTCTCAGCCTCGATAAAACTTGGTATGATGCCTACAGTTGGCGCTGTGCCTCCACCTAACCAATGGGTTGCGCAGAAGTTCCTTACATTTACACTTTTTATATAGAGCAAGCCTGTGTTCTCCTTAACCAGCCTTGTCAACTTGTTCTGTTACCTGCAAAGATTTTTGTACCTGACTCCCTAGTATCTCTTTTTTAGTATTATACCTTTTTTATTTTAATCTTTCTATTCCATCCTGCAAAATTCATCACTTAATGCTTCTGCATTAAATGCCTTCTGCTGTTATCCTCACTGTTTACTATTGTGGCAAGGTTTGGGGGGATGGGGGCTTGTTTTTTAAATCATGTGGGCTTTGGGAATAAGAACAGTTTCACAGGCTTCCTGTGAAGCATTGTAATCCTGAGGTATAAATGTTGCCTCTTCTTCCTAGGATCTGCCGAATGCAATGAGTGCAGCTCAAATCACAGACAAGCTGGGCCTGAATGCCCTGCGCAACCGCGTCTGGTATATTCAGGCCACGTGTGCCACCAGTGGTGATGGTCTCTGCAGCGGTCTGGACTGGTTAGCTGGTCAATTGAGACACAAGTGAGGACTGCTTTCTGAGGATTGTTGGGAAATGTTGACTCACTCGGTGAGGTGAATTTAGCCACACAAACTTTTTTACTTCTATCATTTCCTTGGGGTGTGGTGTCTGCTGGTTACTGTCTTGAATCAAAGATACATGCAATAGTGTCTTTGATTTTGCTGTGGTCTCTTCCAAGACTTGTCAAGCAGCTCCTGTTGGCTTAATGTGAGAAATTCAAATTTTGAACTGGACCTTGTGGAAAGATTTAATGAACCAACAATGCATTAAGATTTCATTCAATCAATAGTGCACTTACTGCATTCCAATAAGACATTTTTGCTCTTTTTTTAAAATGCACTTTTGACCACTTCTATAAACTCTACAAGCATTTTGTTCAGTTCTCCTGTAATTCATTGCAGTCTCTGGATTAGTAAATTGTTCTGGCTATTTTAGGTTTTTGTTTTAATGCCTAACCAGTAACAGAATAGGTACTGCAAAACTAGCCTTATTAAATATTTGACCTGTTCACCTCTGCAAAATAGTCTGATTTTGGTGTCCTTGCATGGTTGAAGTTATGAATTTCACTTCATTTAGTGAACACACACACTGTCTGGAGATTAGCATAACATTGAGCTTTTCTTTTAAAACTGTTCACTGACTGCTATGGGAAGGTGGGGGAAATCTAGATTTGCAGAGTGAATGAAAATGCTGGAAGAATTGGATTACTCCAAACTAATGTCCTCTGTATAATCAGTGGCCAGCTGCCAGTTAGAATTTGAGCAACTTGTCCACAAATTGGTGGACTTGGATGTATATCTAGAGTTCTCTTTACAATCATTTGAATATCTTCCAAGTATAAATGAAGATAGAGTAGGAAAGGACTCTTAAAATCATGCAGAAAAAAGGTTTCCGCTGTAGCTGGAAGCTGCTGCACGCTGTCAAAGAAATCTGGTGGGTGTAACTGTCCAAATGAATGTAGTTACCCTGAACTGCAGAAGAAAATACCACCATTCTTCAATGTTTCTATTAATATAACCAAATATAGTTTCTAATCGGTGACATGGTGGGTTCACAACATTTCTTTCTTTTCTTGGGCCAAGATGTGAATCCACTTTTCCAGGCTATGCATTTCTGTTTATTCTCTGGTTAGAGGGATCCTAGGTGAGCAACACACAGATCTGTTGATGTTTTTAAACCTTTAAATCCAATTTTTAGTGTTGGTTTAAAATGTGAATTTAAAATTGAAGGGTAGGAACAGACAAAAGCGATTATTGGGCTGCAAGAGGTATTGAGGACTGACGCAGTGGAATGGGTTACTAGAACTTAGCTTGAATCATGGTTCAATCGTTCCCTTTAGGGATAGGGTAAACAGATGGTTGAGGGAGGTTGGAAACCGAGCAGACACTTGCAGTTTCAACTAAAGTTGGATTAAGCAATTTATTGTGTTGCAATTCTAATACACACCAAGTTTTAATTCCTGACCTTGTTATTGCATTGAATTATTTATGAACAACTTAACACATCTAACACTGAAATCTGTTTACCTGTTTTGTATTGCCTACCTTGAAGTGGAAGGTTTTTGGTCATGAGGCATTTCCAAATTAAAATCCTCCTCAGCCTGGTCTCTCTCTTTCCTGTCCAAATTGGCTTTCATTTTGTACAAATAACAATGAATAGTCCACTCCATTTGAACAGTTGAGGTGGTAATTCCCTTGCATGCATTGTCATAGTTAACTTTTCTGTCTTTTTTTGCCCTGTTATAATGTCAAACAAAAAAAGACATTTATCTATGAACCTCCTACAACCCCAGGAGCTATGCTTGCATTTTGTCATAAGGTAGCTGTAATATTTTAAGGGCTTCTAAACTACAACCTCAATATACTTCAAATGTTGTAATTGCAGTTTAGCCAAGTAATATACAGATCTGAGACCATGCTTGTAAAAAGCAATTATCCTTTTCTGAACCAGGGTTTCAAAATTCTCTGCTTTTAGAGCTTTGCCATATATAGTACCCACAATACAATGCTCCCACCTTGGAGCTTCTAACTTCCTAAGTCAGGGCTGAGTAAACCAGAAATCCCATTCTCTGCTAATCCAGCAAGTAACGAGATCTCTGCCACACTGCTTTCTTTTGATAAGCTGCTGGGACCAGATGCTGTTTGTACCTATCTCTCCTGCTACAAACAGCAGGACCCTTCCTGTCTCTGCCTTACTGTACTCTAAACAGTCATCACTCTCATTTTTAAACTGTTCACATTCATGTCACAAGTGTTGACCCAGGCATAAATCAAAGTTTCAGCCATTCACTTTTTTTTTTACAACTAACAGTAAGCACAAAGTGGCGAAACACCACTTCGTTTTAAGTGATGAGAAAGTACTGAAGACTGACATAACAGCAGTCCTTAGGAAAAATTGATTCCTCTTGTTACCATTTGAAACAGTGCTTTCCAACAGCACTCTGACTTTCAAGACATTTCCAATAAGTGCTTGGATGTTGCTGAAGTGTCTTTGGTTTTTTTACTTGAACTGAAGTTTGCTTCTCATCTTGTGCAGAAGTGATTGGGGCTTTACATTAACAAAGCAGTGTTGTAGAGAGGTTGGAAAGCAGCTTCAGTCTTCTCTTTCATTATATAATTTCCTCATTCCAGTGGTGAGGATTCATATTTCCCACATTTGTTTAGAGACATATGACTGATTATTTGAATTTTGCAGACCAGGAATAGTGCATCACTATTTGATATATCTTAACCATCTTTTTGAGCTGAAAGATGCCACTTGTCTTAAATATTGCATTGGGCATCTTCCTCTGTTATATGCTTTGGAAATTTTTAGTGAGATTTGAGTCCACAGTCTGTGGAGGGAAGAATGGAATAAGTCAGCTTAAAATACCTGTCAAACTTTCAGTTACTATGTTTTCCAGAGAATCACTGTCCTTGTTTTACCCAAGGTCTGTCTACAACCCATCTAGTTTATGCACAGCAAGGCATGAACTTAGTGACTACAGATCTATACTTGCATTAATGTTCCTAGACTCCTTGTCTACTTGCACACACTGATGGTTTACTGAGAAGTTGCAACTGACCCTTTTTGTAATCAAGACTCTCTTGGAAAGAAATGTTTCACTAAATTCTAACTTTCATCAATCTTCCTGCAGCATTTGTCACAATACTGTTGTGGGATTATGCTAGGCGCAAATTAGCCTGGCTGAAATAAGCATGTGACTGCAGTGCAAAAAATCTCTGCTTGTTTCCCCTGTTCCTCTTGCTACAAAGCATATATTGTAGATTTAAGCAGGGAGTTTCTTGTTCCAATTTTATTAAACTGTATTCAAGTTCTGTATTTTTCTCACTTGTATTGGAGCAAATGTAAACTTGCATTGAAGATCTGCTTGTGGTGCATGTACTTAGGTTTTATTTTTAGCTGTAAAATATATTCTGTTCTTCACTTTCACTCCATGTAATGCACATGCATACTGAATTTGGTAAAGGTGGGAATGCCCTTATGAAATTAATACACTCAAACTTTACTGGATTATGAATGTCTCTTGCTGTTGTAATTAAAGTTTGCAGGCTATTGAAATAGCATGTGAAGGTCCACACTCCAAATACATCACAGAAGCTCAAGTCTCCACCCACCTAACGGTTTCAGCTGCTTTAAAGGAATGAGGAATGGCACTAGAGCTCCAGTTCACTGTCCAGTCAATTGGTGGACCTCTGCTAGAGTATTAATGGGGAGCCTGCCTATTAAGCCTTTGTGCCATTGGGAGTAAATATACATATCCATACACTCCCATGACACTGCATGCAGGGAATACAAAGAACCCCATGAAACTTTTGGTAAGCTTCATACTCTTGCCTGCTATTAATACTTTTTGAGCCTTTGAATGCAAATGAACTAATAGCAATAGCGATATGTCATCTTTTGTTTTGAAATGTACAGGCTAATTACACTGGAAACATTAAGTCAATGTAATAAATGTATTTGTTAAAATGTCTCTGCAAATAGTTCAAGTGCCTTTTCATCCTTGGGAGATGGCTAGTTATCTCACTGAGCTGTTATCATTTTATCTCTGCTTTTCAGAGGTGGATTTAATCATTTCTTCAGATTCTGGAAGAGACTGTCTATGCTCATAGACCATATGAAATATTTTATTTTATGCCTACTTTTTTGTTTTGAATTTAAAATTGTTTAAAAGGTGGAGTTTGATCAGAATTGAGCACTATCTTTTTAAGGACATTTCATCTTAGATCTTCTAAGAAAGGTCTTTAGCCCTACAGTGTGGCAAGCAGGCCCTCCAAAGAGCATTCCACTCGGCCTCCATCCCTGTAGCCCTGCAATTCCCCACAGGGGAATCCACCAACCTGCGCATCTTTGGATTGTGGGAGGAGACTGGAGCACTTGGAGACCCACACAGACTTGGGGAGAATGTGTGCAAACTCTACAAGTCACCTGGAAGATGGAGTTGAACCCAGGTCCCTGGTGCTGAGGCAGCTGTGCAAACCACTAAGTCACCATGCCATTCCTTCCAATATGTGAAGAGTCCAGGAGATTCAGTTTAAACTGATTTGATTTAAGTGATGGAATTGAATAGGGTGCAGCCATAAACTCAGCATAAGTGACTTGAAGCTGGATGGTGTTACTAACTACTCTATTTTCCAGGGGGCCAGTCTTTCCAAGAGTTCCTCACCCCACTGCAGTGAGCTAATCAGCCTTCATGATGTTCAATCTTCCCCTCCTAATTTTGCTGTCTTTTTTTTTTTAAATCTATCCATACACTCAGCCACCCTTTTCATCGCAATTTGGCCTTTTTTCTCTCCGGTTTATTTCCCTCCCCACTTGGATCCACTCACTTTCTCCCCTGCAACCTGCAACTTTGATTTCAAACTCCTACCTTGCTTGTTTTAGATCCTTCACTCACCACATACTGAGCTTCTGATCTACTCTATCAATACCTTGCCATTACTTTAATGCCCTTGTCCCACCTCTCTGCATGCTGTGTCTGTATATCCAGCATGATTGGTTTGTGTTCATTACAAGATCTGGATGGACTATTTTTAAGAAGTAAGCTGGGAAAATAGCTACCTACCCTTGTACTCCTGAGCTCTTTCTGTCTGTCAACTTGCTGCACTTCATCCTTTCATCAGACTCCATTTGCTGACCAGCTACCTTCCCTTCTAGTCACTAAACAGCCATCTGTCTCCTTTTCTCTTGTTGACCAGCTTTCAAAATACCCATCGCCCTTCCTTTCCCACTTTCTTCTTGCCTACCTGTCCCTCTCACCATAACCACTTCTTGACCTTTCTGTTCTTAAATTGCTAACTTGTGGCCAAACTTTATTTTGCCCTTCATTCTTGAAAGATTGGTTAAAACTGTCAATGTTACCCATGGACTCTTAAACCTGATTGATCCTCAATCTTTCACATTCTGTTAAGTGAAATGGATTCAAAACTACTACCCATATCCTAACTTGTCCTTTGCTGGCTTATGCTAATGCTTTAGCCTAGTTCAGCCTTGTAAAACAGTGATCAGAAACAATTTTTTTGAATACAACAATTATACTTTTTTAACCATCTAGCCTCTTGCACATCCTTTTTCCTCCTCCCCACTTTTTTAATGTTCTTTACCGTACTATATAGGCTAAACATTGGATTCCTCCAACTGTTTGTGAAGCACCTTCTTTTGGCATTTTCCTTCATTTATGCAATGGTATTAGCAAACAACTTTTTAAAAAATTTTTAATTTTTTTCTTGCAATTTGTACTCACCTGCTTTGCAGTAACCACTGGCTTTTTTAATAGATGAGAAAAATTAATAAACTATTCAAAGTCTGAAATGTGGTGTCTTATTGTTGAGTTTCATGTTTGTACAACTGCATGTTTTGTCAAATACACCAACAATAGTCAATCCAGTAAAATGAAGCAGGAAGCATTTAAGTCAGCATGGCAAGCTGCCTCGCATAAAACCAGCCCCGAGTATGCAGCTGGAGTGCAGTCTGTCCGCTATGCAGTAAGTTGCTAATGACTTTTCAGCAAAGCAGCATGCTTAAAGCGCAAAATCAGTGCTGTTTTCAAAAGGGAACAGTTTAAGTGTTTAAGGCAACTTTGTTAAAACGTCCAGCAATGTTTTAAGTAGCAATTTTGTTTTAAAATCTAATTACATATTGGAGTTACAGCACTTTATTTTTGAGCCACTTTTCCCTCGTGTCTGGATGTCTTTAATCTTCTCTCTCTCTTTCCCTGTGGCCAGACATCTTATGACACACTGATGGAACAGGTGGTACTTTAACTTGGGCCTCCTGCCTCTGGTAGGGGAGACTAAGTGCACCACGAGCCCACTGTTTGTATACTTAGCTGCCACCCTACATTATCAGCACATCCCTGCGTTCCTTTCTGCCTTGTAATTGTTGAGCTTTCCCTCTTTAAGCTATTCTCCTCCAGTTTTTGTAATGGAATGCATATGTGCTCAGAGGGCTCATGTGGTACATTTGGTGTCCCTAACTCTGAGCCAGGAATCCCAGGTTCGAGGCCCAACTGCTCCAGTAGAATATACTAGCCCTGAGAGTTGCTTTTTTTTTTGAGTACAGATGTGCCCAGATTTAACTGACTTTCGCTGAAGGATGCAACCACTTCTGTTTATGCTCTTATTGCAAGCAATGAAATCTTTGTATTTGAGCTGAGGGCTGGAGTGCAACAAACATTGGGGGGGAAACTGAAGTGAAATAGTGCTGTTAATGTTTCCTAATCAGTGCTCCTCCCTCCTGTGCCAGTCAGCAGCTAAAACGTACTTCAGGAAAAAATCCCTGCCATTGCTGTAGGATTAAATTCTCCAAGTTAATTTTATGTTGTATTTCTGACTAGTTAGAACAGACTTCTGGATAATCAAATTCTAAGGCAGAATTTGCAGGGAATTAAGTGCTTTTTGTCTCAATGCAACAAAGTTGAAGGAGCTGCAAGCTCATTACTTGTGAAGCAACTTGGTGGCTTTTTACATGTACTGAAGTGACCAATTACTTGTGCATTTTGGTATACCAATGAGAACATTCTCTTTTCAGGATCTTTTTTCTTTTCTCTTAAATTGATCAATTAGTTGTGAAATTCAACATAGTTCCGAATATCCTCATGATCTCTTTAAAGGTTAATCTATCACAATGGCAGGACCTGCAAGAATTTGCATATCTCAATGAGTTAGTGGCACAGACGGTTGCGGACCCCACAAACGCTGTAGAAACTGAAGGTGGTAGCTGGTAAGTGTACACTTTTGGTTTATCAACTTATTCTGCTTCATGGAATTTTGTGTAAAGTTTATCTTCAAGACTCTTCAGAACAGGCAGTGGATTGTTCTAGATTTCAATATCTGACTTGTCAACAGTTTCTGGAGGGATTTGTGCTTTGGCTGTTGAGCCTGTGGATGTAACCAGCTGGAGGTGGGTGTACAAAATGCCTTTTGCCCCTGGTCCTATTTAACCGAGCATAGCTGTTTCCATCTTGACACTTTTTTTTTATTGTACATATCCACTTTTTTAGTTGTTTGTTTTTGTTTTTAATCCTCTTCTTCCTCCACCATTACAGCTTGGGTTGATCAGCTTGCCCCTACCCCCAGCCAAGGCTGGTCTTTCACATTTGCTTTAATCCCAGACTTTGTCTTTCACCTGGAAGTTAAATGTAGAACCCCTACAGTGCAGCTAGAGGCCATTTGGCCCATTGTCTGCACCAACCCTTTGAAGAGCACCGCACCCCCCCCACCCCGTGCATTTACCATGGATAATTCACATAGCTGGATGCTATAGGGTACCACCCTCAACTTTCTCATGTAGATTGACATCTTTTTTTTTTTTTTTTTTTTTTTTTTTTTGCAAAAAAACTTTTCATTTTTGCTTCTAATTCCCACCTTGTCCTCACCACCTGGTCTATCTGACTCCTCCCTTCCCTTTCTTGACACTTAGTCTCCATTTCTGGGGATAGGATGGCCATCAATGTACACTACAAACCCACTGTCACAGTTACCTTTTGACTATACATTCTCCACCCTGATTCCTGCAAGGACTCCATCACGTTTCTCCATCTCTCATATCTGTCCTGGCAATGCTACCTTCTGCAGTGGGGGGGGGGCCCTCATGTCTCCCTTCCTTCAACTAAGAATTCCCTGTTACTGTGGTCAGTGCATTTCTGCCTTTACCCCCTCCCTTTTGTAACAATGATTAGTGTCCCCCTAGTCCCTACCAACCTCAGCATCCAGACACATTCCCCTCCCCTTCCTTGTCAGCATTCTGTAGGGACTTTCCTTCCAGGACCCCATAGTGAACTCTTCCACTCCCAACACCTGCATGTTTACTTCCCTCCTCACCATCTAAGGCCCCAGACACACCTTCCCAGGTGAAGCAGTGATTTACCTGCACTTCATCTAAGCTAGACTACTGTATTTGCTGTTCAGTGTGGTCTCCTCTATCGATTTTACAGAATTGAAATGCAGACTGGGTGACCACAATGCAGAACATTACATTCTGTCTACAGAAATGACCAAGCTTCCAGTTGCCTGCCATTTCAACACATCTTGTTCCCTAGCTAACATTTTTTCTGCCACAGGCCTGCTACAGTGTTCCAGTGAGCCTCAGTGCAGGCCTAACTTGCTCTTGCTCTCAGGACTCCCACTAATGCTACCAGATCTGAGTTTTGTCAAAAATGTAGTTTCCTGACACGCTGAGCATGTATTGTAAGTGTGATAGCGTAGATGCAATTCTCTCCACTTTTGTTGGAGTGAGCTTTTGTTCTGGGGAAAAGCTGTCATTCTGTAGCATTTAAGTGTGCTACATTGCTCAGTCTAACACCACTTCCCCAGGTAAGTAAATATGTACAGAAATAATTATTTCTGTACATAGAGTTACTGGAATCAATAGGAATTGCTGGAGGGGGAAAAATTCAACAGGTCTGCTAACATCTGTGGAGAGAAGGCAGTTAATGTTTTGGGTCCAGTGACCCTCCTTCAGCTGATAACTAGGAA